GGCTGGTACATTCACAACAACCACTGAGAAGATTGCAGGTTCGAAGTCTGCCGTAGTTAGCATTCGGTCGAGACGAGCTATGAAGGAGAAACTTCATTCCTTGGCGAGAAAGCAGAAGCGAGAATCAGTGGCGAACTGCTATACGACAAACTATAGTGATGGCTGTTTTACAGCCGCCGTCTCTAGCGGCTTAGTTGGATAGCTAGCAAAAGTCCCGACGAGGAGTTGAGAAGTATGCTGTGTCAGATGCTCAGCGGGGTTCAACGCATAAGAGCTCGACCATTCTTAAATCATAAACCCCAAGAGTAAACTTTGCAAGCTGCTATCCTCCCTCAAGTTTCTTATCAAGCAGCGACTGGCCATAGCATTCAGTAGCACACACCTTGTGAGAAACTCCGACAAGAAACACTGAAATCAAATTTGAGTGCGCGCAAAAATATTGCGGAAAACCAAAAAAACTATAAAGTGCGACAAGCGTATATAGACACAAAACGGATTGCAGTGACGACACTGTGTGCATGAATTTGGAACCATTGTGTCCAAGTGGTGGACTCTGTGGAAAAAAATGGAAATCGCAGTTAGCGATAGGCCAGTTTTTTGAACTGCATTTTTGTATGGATTAATTTAACGAATGCTGCCGCTCGCTATGAATTGAAAATGTATTGCAAGTACCCTGGTGTATACAAACTTTTGGGCGCAATGCCTTGTTTCCTTTTGCAATGCTCTTTATTTCTTGCTTAGATATGGGGTCTCTGATCGACCGCCAAGCAGTGGCCGAATTTGAGTGTGGGCTGTACGTTTCAGTTCTAATTATCTGGTCTATGAGGGTTTCATGTGCCCAACAACGCTAGAATCAATGTTAAGCCATGATTCGTGTTCCTTCAAAGGTTGTCTCGGCAGTCGTGACCAACAGTCGGATATCGCATTTACGTGAATGTAATTACGGCCATGCAATTATGCGAGGGTGTCACTGAACTGTATGTTCAGTATTATTATTTTAAGCTTTAATACTCAAAGATTACAGGTATAATTTCTATCGTAAACTGAAATATGGCAGCAAGACCTTTACAATTATGAGCCTGATGGTTCCTGAAAGTGAGTATTTTTACACGATAGATAAGTTTTCTTTTAGTCCTTCTGAAGGAAGGTTCATATCGTTATTGTAATGACTGTGAAGATGATTCATAAATGAAGTGTATCATTTGTTGTTTGCTGCTCGCCGAAGCTTTTGAGCGGAAGCCGAAAGCGTTTCCACCTCTCCGTTCTCTTTCTGTTTCATTCTGTAGTTCTCAGGTAAGTCCTCGCACAAAATATTAGATTAAGTCGCAGGTAATGTCCAGCTGCCAAATGTTTGTGCTGTTTTGGTCAATATTTTGTGTAGGAACCTTAAAGGAATCCTTCTCGGAAAAATGTTCTATCTCGCCCACAAATCATTGGATTGAAGTTCATCCCACACGAGAAGAACGAATAGAACAAAGAAGGATTTCTGGAGAACAAATCGAAAAACTGGAAGGACTGCTACCTAATTCCTGCCGGACATCTGTCACAAATGCTGGCGGTGAGAACGCTTCCACTAGGTACACGGAGTGCTGTCACTAGATGCACAAAAGCGATAAAAGAAGATGTCAAGAAGCAAAGAGCAGCAGTTTTAGTAAAAAGGCAGAGGCTGGGGGGCAATGCCCGCCAAAGCTTTGCCAGCTACAATGACCAAGATGACCTGCCTCCGACGTCCGGATGGAACAGCTACTGCATCCCGAAAAGCAATGGTTAGCCATCTACGACCTCTACTCAGATCTCTTCGATAGCCCATATGCTCGATATCGGTGAGTTGGGGCGGTGTCACCGGAAGTGACGTGCACTTGATAGAAGCTATGTGGATAAGCTGCTTCCAACATACATCGCTGGATATCAGCAAAGCATGCTGGCAACAGCTTATCCACGCACTTCTATCAAGTGCACGTCACTTCCGGTGACACACCCACCCCAACTTTCGGATATCGACTGTATGTATTTTTATAATCAGGGAGGGTATGCCGCTCCATTATATCTCTTTTTGAAAGACTAACATATCACCAAGTTCGTGAAGAAAAGTACACCACCCTACCTCGAGAGGGTCAAAACGGAACGTCTGAAACATTCGCCATCAAATGTTATCAAAACACCTGCTCATTTACTAACGAGCTAAATGTTCGAATTGATTCTGCATCCTACATAAACACTGCCGAAGTATTGAAGCACCCTACAAACATTGCCGAAGTATTGAAGGATGTTTGCTTTGTGAAGGTGGATGAAGCATCAAAATCGATCTTTCTATTGAATCTTTTCGTTGTTAGATTCGGCTCTTAAAGGCAGCGATTACGATAGATTTCAAAGGGGTTTAGAGGGGACGTGGGGGTCTCAATAGTACGCCAATGGCGAAAAAAGCAAAGAAATCCGTCAAAAATAAGCAAAATAGTACCCCTTTGATTGCCCTTTCATTTTCGACCATGGATGAGCGACGGTAAAGAATGACGTTGTTCGGACGTGTTAACCCCGATAGCCGCCATCATGCCAACAAGCATAGTGTTTTGATTGATAACTGCGGAGGTCCTGCTCAGCAACCACAGCACCTCTCGCCGTGGAAGCGCCACACATCGCTTCCTTGGCAGCCAAGTAATTGCTCCGTGTGGCGCAGGTTCTCCCCGATGCGAAAATTCCTTATCGTAATCGCTTCCTTTAACCATCTTTCCACACGCGCTACTGTTTACAGCATGCGAATGCTTGATAGGCTTCTAAACATTGAAGATAGATTGTTGGACACTGTTGAGGACTGCTATTCTTTGCAGCAACAATAAATAATAGCTGGGTCCATAAAGGTGCTAACATTCTAGTGAAAAGTTGCATGGGCCCTGGACGATAAGATATTAGGTGAAGTAAAGAAGTGTTGCTGGGGCAAACTTCACCACTGAGAAAACTTTATAAGGCGTTGTGGATATGTGCCAACTTTGGCCGTCCGCATTTTGGTCGACACGGCCCATTGCCGATGTGGAGATCGCACGTGGATGACGACGTATCGGATAAGGAAGCTGTGGAATTAATAGATTCGATACACATACTGGTGCAACTGCGTTCATTTGAACTCGTCTGGTCACGTCCTCTCTTTATCTGAGGATGGACGATATGGGGCTTCATATGCGGTTTTCTTCACTTTCTCGCTTTTCAGACGACTCGCTATCCACACTCCAATGATCGACCGCTGTTATTTTACCGACATTATTGGGTTGATCCATAATTTCTGGCCGAAATTCAATTTTCAATATGTCAAATTAACTTCATATCGAAATAAGTTGATATGTTGAAGAACACATCAGGACCTTCAAGCCAGGATGTTTCAGAAGCTCAAATGCGCAACGGGATAATTAAGTAGGAATCAAAAGAGATCAACGACCAAACCCAACCATTATGCCTTACGACAATTTTAAGAAGAACCTTGCAAGGAGCGCGGTAGGCAAGATCAGCGCTACGTTTGCCCTAGTCTTTGCTACTGATTCGGGCACTGAGCAATTGGCTCATAGCATCGGCAAATAAGATAGGAGCAAAGTGTTTGAGAGTACCTCATCATAAACCTCCAGTCACTTTGGATGAGAACACCATGCCCAACGAGTAGGAAGTGCATCCTGAAGCTACTAGCAGGAAACCGTAGCAAACACCTGGAGGCAGCCTACGCTACATGAATCGACACCTCAATGAAGGGGGCTGTAGCAGAATGGAAACAGCAGGCATCGACTGACCATGACCGAGAGGCACGCCTGACCATCTGCAGAAGTTTCATTCTTCGACCATATAGACACGACATTTCCTAGTTGGTCACTAGTGCAGATGAGTCATGAGTCCACCACGATAACAACACACAGCACGCCTTGTGGCTACCTCGCAGCCTGGACTCACCATCTCGACCAAAGCATGAGCTCTCTCATCAGAGGATATTACCCCGGTTTGTTGGATTCGCTGGGTATCCTGTTTTGGAACCATTTCACTTTATGCAGACAAGCATTGCGAAGGTAACCATGGAATAGCTCCCGAAGTTGGCCGCAGCAGTGCGGGAGAACGGTTCGAAACGTCTCAAAATCTCCTTCCGAAGGACCGCCCGAAATCACATTGCAAAGATAACTCGCCACGTTTCGAAGGAAACTGGCTGGACCACGACACCACATCTGTCGTATAGCCCTGACATTGCTCCATCGTACTATCACCTCCTCAGCTCCCTGAAGCAGCAGCTAGGAGAGAAAAAGTCAGTAAATACAACCACCCCAAAAACGACCTCTCCGAACTTTTCATCTCACAGCTTCACTCGTTCTGGGAGGAATGCATCCATTCGTTCCCTAGCAAAGTGGATGCATATCAGTGATTATGATGGTGGTTATGTTTTTGATCAATTGTTTTTTAGGAAAGATAAAACTTGAAGAAATCAAAGTGTTGAAATTCGGCCAGAAATTATGGGTCAACCCAATAGTTGGGGTTTTTTCTTAATGTCTTTTGATGGTATGCTAGATAGCCTAATTTTTTGTATATAATAATGGTCACTAGATTACCTAACGCTTCCAAGTAAATCGATTATTTACAAGCGCGGAGGATACACTTGTGCTGACCAATGGCTTGTTATTTCTTCTGTATTCGATCATGCTTCGATTTTAGGATTTTACGATAATTATCTTGATACGACTAGGTGGAAGTTGGATACGACCTCACCGGCATTATACTACAGCCTAACTTTGATGATAGGTAATTTTACTTAGCCTTGAATACAAAGCTCGATATGAATAGCTGTAGCTCGAAGAGAGCAGTTTTTGCGAGAGATGGGCTTTGAAGCACTTTCATAATCTTGAAAGCGACTCACAAATGATGCAGTATCTGAGCTAGCCCAGATCATTGGTTAGATGGGAATTTCTCTCCGAGGTCTACACGCTGAAGAGGTATTCATAGAATTTTTTTCATAGGGCAAATAACAATTTTCAGAGCAAATGTTCGCTAGTGGCGCAGTTGAAATGGATCGGGAAGTGAAATCAAATGTTCTAGTCATCGGTTTGGGAGCCGGTTATGTAAACACCTATCTTCACGATATGTATCCGAAGGTGAGAAAATGTTGGATTTCCAATGAGAGAATTTATTAGAAGACGTCATATTAGGTAGCACCAGAATGAAGGATTGGCACTAGTTTACATCTACAGTGTAACTGAATACTAAACCTGTATTAGGGAGCCCCACAACGGTCTGTACTATTTGCAATTTTTTATATCGGTGGTGGCTTCATATCATGCATCGGCTCGATACTGTGGGTGTTCGTGGTTGTGCTGCTACGTCTGTAGCCAGAACAGAGTAGTAACTCGTCTTGGCCGATCCCATTTTGATAGAATTATTTGGAGAATAAGTTGTCGTACTGAAAGGTAAAATTCATGCTTTCAAGCGATGAGTTTTGCTGGAGCGCTTTTCTTCGAGCTGAAGGCGTGCTCACGACGAAAGATCAGTAACTCGGTGGTTATATCTATCCAGCTACGGTTCAAGGGCTGGAGGACAGTAAACAAAATAGAGAAGAACGCGCTCCCTCTTTTCTCAGTCTCGTCTCCGGGGTGGGCCAAAATTATGGTAACCGAGACATGTACCGCTGAAAGCGATTATTGAGTTATTGAAACAAATCATCTTCGAAAAAATGTTTTTCGCTAATCTTCAAATACAAAAGAAGCAGCAGGAATCTGTCACCTTCTGCTTCAAAACAGGCGCAAAGACGAACGTGAGGAGTCGTATGAACGCAAATAGGACTCGACGAGGGATGATTCCCAAAGGTTTGCGGAGCCTTTTTGAGACTTTCCAGGTTCTTGTAGTGTCTTTACATATGCTTGGGTCGATGTTGACCAATTAGAAAATGCATCGGATGTTAGTGGCGCTTGTGAGCATCGTCAGGGAATATGAAGCTTGGAACTTCTCCTCGCAGAACTCTTGAATAACTTCTGAGTTATCACGAGATGCTGTTCTGGAAGTGTCTCCTCAGTAGAATTTGATCCTCCAGAAGTTCCAAATACGCTTCTTCATCGACTTTCTTCATTGTGGGAAGCGGACAAAAAAAAAAAACGATGATTAGCGGGGTTTTAGCATTGGTGGCTATGACCGCAAAATCCGTCCAAGAAAGTGGGTGAGCTCTACACTCAATCACCTCTTTGTGTCTTATTTTCTCACAAATCATATCGTTATGCTTGTTCAATACTTGTTCCACCGTTGACACCTCGCCTGCGAAATGTTTTCCTATGGCGGTTTCTCCGGAACAAGTCAGTAGCCGCTGTGAGCGCTCCTTTCTGTTCATTTTCGCTTGCTCACTTATAATCTAACCTCTTACTTGTTTGAAGGCTTCGTCATGCAAGCGATCTCCCACAATCCTGCGCAAAGAAGTCCATGTTCATTTCTTTGGCCATTTTGCGCGCGGAACGAGCTCCATTCGTCGCAGTCTTTCACCCACTTCTTAATATTTTTCCTGGTTGTGACTGTAGCTTTCTTACCTCGCCGTTATCGATCTGCGGCTATTTCTAGCTTATCAGACCGTCTAATAGTCGACCATACGAGTTTCTTTGACACGTTGAGTCTTCTGGAAATGTTCTTTGCGAAAGCGTGTCAAATGCAAATGCAAAGTAATGATTGTTTTGCGATGAACAGATGCATTCATTATCTCTGAATTCTGCATAACGTTGAGTATTGGTATAGGGGGAATGATGCAATCTATCATACCAAATACAAAAGCGAGCATAACCTTGGAAGCAAAGGGAAAAAATCGCTATACGCACTCGCGCGCGGTTACCACAATTTCGGCCAAATGTTTCATGCGAAAATCCATGCCAATACAATTTATTGGTTTGCATACTGTAATGTAGTAGCTTCATTATTTTCCGAAATTGATAGTTAGCTCTACAGAGGAGAGAAGGCATCGAACTCTACTGCATCATACACAGAAATGGGGACGAAAATGGAGAGTCTAAGAAAAATAAAGTGGACCGCGCGCCCACATATGCTCAACATGATTTTGGTCCACCACACGCTAACATGCCGACACATATAATTTGTTGTGTTGAATCGATAATGCAGTCGTAGACCCCTGGTACGTAATCTCATGATCGAAGGCACTTTCGCCGATCATCGTCGAAACTATTATTTTTTCTATAAGGTACGGTGGTTGCAGTGGTAGCGCTACATGGACGACTTGGATCCGCGTTGCAAGGACACTCAGAACCACTCGTGAAATTCTTCACTGCCCAACACCCATGCTATTATGTTTGATTCCTAATTATTTCTAATAGCATTTCCTTCCTTATTCTTCACATCCAAACCACTCCAAAGCTCTGCTTCAATGATGGATGACAATCCTTGTATAGTCACGATGTTCGATGGCAGCATGCGCAGATTATTATGGCTGCGGTAATTGATAAATGATTAACTCATTTTCAGATGAATATCGCTGTGGTGGATGTGGAGCCAGGTTTGATACCAGTTGCTAAAAAATGGTTCGGTCTTGTGCTAGACGATCGCCAACGAGTGTTTATAATGGATGGAGTTGAATTTATTAGAGATGCAGTAAGAAAAGGTTTAAGCTACCACACATTTTGTTGAGCCGAACAACTTGGTCATTTTGCTTTGACAACAAGTGTTTCGTTCCAATCGCCCAACCCCTTTCAGTCGTCAGCCCTTGAGACATAGTGGCAAACAAAATGAGTAAAATCACCATTCTATTATGTTAGGGTTATGCAGGTGTCCATTTATGTAGAAATGGATCAGAACGTAAATCAGATTAAGGTGCCGGGGATATGCATGGCCCGGAGAGAATTGCCCTGAAAACATTCCCTGCCTTCGTGGGGATCCAGAGAGTGGAGACACCACCTATGATTTGTAACGGAATGGACCGATATTCACCATCGACACTCTATGAAGCGCACATTCTTCTCCTTGATAAATGTACCCCGGTGAAGTGAAGACAGAGGACACTTTACTTCACATACCTCTTTGGTTTTAAATTAACTCGTTCCCTCTTTGAAGTACGTCTCCGTAAAATGGACTGTGCTCGGGGGGGGGGCGACTTTAATTACCAAGCGCATGGAAAAGATGATCCTGCACGGCGTGAGTGGTATGTAGAAAAAGAGCGCATGTCGTCGCACTCGCCAAAATCTATCTTTGCAATTCTATGGAGCCACTTTTTTGCTCTCATCTCAATATGTGCTCCTTTCATCGCACGGAAACTATCTAGACATGACATGACGTAGATGAGAGCGGACAGACTGTGAAGCACCGGGTAAACAGCGCGGACGCGTCTGTTGCTAATTTACGTCAGCGTGAACGATTCGATGGCCAACGGTGCGAGCTATAATATAGTCATACACATTTTTGAAAGCAGCTTTCTGATGAGACAGAATAGCTTAGTATGGGACCTCAATTCATGAGTAACCTTCCCTTTCAAGATAACCCTTTCTTTTTGTACAGTTGGAGAGACTGGGAAACTAGAGACTGGAGTCTAAGAGACGTTGAGTGTCGAGGCGAGAGAACACATCGAAAAGCAGGCAGCAGACATCGCAACGTGAGCATGATAGTTGATTGGGGTGACAGCACGTGATTCAACCATTATAACTCTTTCCACGCATTCGAGTCGCAAAAATAACCCTTTCTTTGCTGTTGCACACAAAGCTATTTTACTCTCGAAAGAGACTGGTCCAGTGATATGATTGTAGAGATGGTCCGATGATCGACAGCGATCATACTACATATACCTGTTTCCGAAAACTACATGCTCGCCGAATGCAGACCACACAACACAAGTGACGACGGCCTCCACAAAATGTAAATGTTTCTGCCAATGAAATGATAGCCGGTTGCAGTTGTATTCTATCAGTTGTCACTAATTACAACTATCATTATGAATCACTAACTCCCAGATAAACTTGAGTGCCGTCGTCACTTGTCGTGTGTGATCTACTCGACGCGCATCTGGTTTTCGGAAGCAAAGGTTATGAATGCGTAGCCCTTGCCATAATATAAGCTGAGTACTACCATGTGATAAATACCCTGCCAACTGTGCAGCTATCCAGCTACTGTCACCTTGTTAGATAGAGGATCTTGGGGGTTCTTTCTCTCATAGGTGGATTTTTCAGGACGTAAAGCATTCTTTCAAATGGTTCTCTGAATGTTGTAGAGGCTCATGTGAGGAACACAGAACCATGGTTCATTTTTCCTGAACGCCCCAGGAATGTCAAAACAGGGAAGAAATGGTCCAAAGTTCGATCCTCCGTGATGACAAATTTTTGCAATTATGTTGGCGCCTCCAAATTGCCGCAAAACATGACATCTATTCTCGACGATGGCGCCATTTGGCGGCAATCTGGGGCGCCAAACTATATTGTATTGTTGTTAACTATATTATATTGCGAAAACTAGTCATCACCAGGGATCGAACTCTGGACCATTTCTTCACCACTATTTTGACATTCCTGGAGGCATTCAGGAAAATGAATCATGATTCTGTTTTCGTCGCATGACCTCCTACAACATACTATTTTGGAAGGGTGTCACGTTCTAAAAACCTCTAAAGTTAGCTCTTCTTGTTCATCTTTTGCTATAGTAGATTTGCTTATTTTGGCCGTTGGAGGACGAGTGTCGCTATCAATATTTCAGATCATAAGTACGACGCAATATTTGTCGACGCTTGTGTGGCGAACACTGTTGAGAAAATATCCTGTCCTGCGCCTGGTTTCTACACATCTGAAACTGTGGAGAATCTTTCTAAAATATTAACCAGCAAAGGTATTTCTTATAGGATCGAAGGAGGGAAGGAGTCTAGGCCACGGCCAAATCCGTTATTCAGTAGAGTGACGCCATTATGAAGGAGATTCATCAAGAATGCATGAGCCTAATCGCTGCATAGTAGCGGGAGTTCAGATGGCTTTGTCACTCATGCACGTGGAAGGTGGCCATGTTAGGGAGAAGCGCTCTGCAAATACCCACGATTATACAGCGTGGTTCTTGCGCATGAAAAGATCATCAATGCTGGTGGAGTGAAAATGTAGTTAGGGAAAAAGGAAAGTTTGTCGAATACGCAAAAATTAAGGAGCTTTTTTATTCGTATAGTTCGAATGTGCTGGGAACATTGTGCGCACCGAAGAGAGGATAGACGAGAGAGCACAGGGGAAGAGAGGGCGTAGACACCCTCTTCAGTGAAAGCGGAGGCGGCTACCTTGGGAAAGACTCTTGAGCACTTTTTGCGCACTTTGTCGCAGACGCAAGAACTCGACATCTGCGACTTTGGTGAACACCTCAATCCAACCCACCGGAAGTATTGACTAACAAATTAATTATGAGTGTGCCTTTGAGAACAACTTTTCATGAATGTTCTGACTGCATTTTTTCAGGGGTGGTTATTATTAATTTGCTGAGTTACAGTCTCACACAAGAGGAAACTATCCAAAAGGTGAAATTCATAGGGTTTGAAAGGTTTAAAACGTAAGCGAAAACAGCGGCAAAAAGTCAACTCGTCATGTTTTTGGTTCGATATTTTTTATTCACCGGTGTTTCTCCCGTCAATTTACAAAACCATATACATCATAACTGGGATGGTGCACCTGCGCACCCTTATCATTCCAGGTACTGTACAACTTCAAAATGTTTTTCAAGAATTGCATTACAACTGAACCCGAAGCAGCTCGGCTAAACCGAGTTAGTACCATGTTGCCTTCTTTACACATTCAAAAAGACGATTCTTCTTCGATTTTTGAAATAATTGGACTCATAGCATAATTTTAGGTGGCGGCATGCTTCCAGCATGAGCGCCCAGAGAACTTGAAGGAGAAATACAAAAGATTCATCGGAACTGCAAGTTGAAAACTTAGAAAATGAGCAGCTGTCATTCTTCTTTCAACTGAATTCAAATGAAAATTTGCTTACAATTTTTTGAAGAAAGATCTTTTTCTATCGAGAAGGACTTGAGTAACCGGAAGCACATAAAATTTCACAAATTTTGATGCTCGCCAAGACCGTGAGCTGATTAGGATCTTACAAGGGAGGTCTTTCAGGGCAAGGTGCGCTTTTTCAAAACGGTTTTGTGCATATTGTAGGGACGCATGTAGGGAACGCAAAACCATGTTTCATTTTCGCTGAACGGTTATAGCAGTACCAAAAAAGAAGCATAAGGTACTGTTAAGGGTTCGATCCCCCGTGGCGACTAAATTTTGCATTTGGGTTGGCGCCTACGGTTTGGTGCCAAATCGCGCTAAATATCAAAATCAGATGTCAAATTCATCGTCAGGACCATTTTGAAGCCAACAAGTGGCCGCCAACCTTGATTGCAAAATTTTTCGCCGCGGGGATTGAACCATTGGGTACCAGGCGGCCACGCACGCTACCGCGCTCTCCATTCTGCTGGCGCATTTTCGAAATGGGCGCCAACCACGACCATCCCCCTCCCCTTCCGCATGAGTCACCCCCATCACCTTAGCCTAACGCTCGCAAACGCGGTTCTCTCAAAGCGCGCACTCTCGCCCTTACGCCTCCAACCCCGACTCTCTCCGGTCACATGCTCTCTCGCGCCGTCTGGCGCTCAGGGTGAATAACGGTCGAGGAAATCCTCGACAGGGGTCGTATTTTCTTTCCGACTAGAGTTGGGAACAGTAATTCAAGCTAGAACTCGCTTGTTTCGTTCTTTGAAATAAATAAACCATAAGGCTGTAACATTTCGAGAATCACATCTACATGCGGTGTGCTTGCCACTTATTGTATGGCATAAGCATCGAAGTATAAGAGGTACACTATTTACGCAAAAGTTCGTATATTGAGAACTTGTAGAAATGCGATAATTTATTTTTCTCAGACAAGTCATTGATATTAACAATCATGCATTAAATCGAATCGAGCAAGAATTGTACAACACTCCCTATGATTCAAGCTTTTAAGTTGCGGAATAACTGTGCCACAACGTTATCAAGCCGTTGATTTCGACGTAAAGAACCACCAAGCAAGCTCGCAACTTTCAGAACAGCACGAGTAAAAAATGGGAAAACGGCCTTCAAATCCATCCGACATAGCAGAATTTTGATAATTTTTGTCTCCGAGTGATTACTGGGGCCGTGTGTATCACCCAGTATTAGTACTGTATGGTTATACTGAATTGTCCGATAAGTATGCGCGATTTGGCGTATGGCATAGGAAGGCAGCGCGTCCTGCAAAAAAATTCGTAGGGAAAGGGCAGCGAAAATCTTCTCTAAAATGATGTACATGCTACGAGAACTTAGTGGAGGAACAATCTTGGTAGAAAGTTCAAAACAGGCAGATTCGCAGCCTTCTTGGCATCATCAGATCCTGCAACCGCAAGCGTGTCATTCATCAGAACGGGTTGGAAAGGCGAGCGAATTATGGATAACTTCAGTGAAAGTGAACGCGACTACTAGACAACAGTGTTTCTTACTGAAACATCATAGCTAGTGATAGTGCCCCTCTCCACATTTTAAGACTACTGAAATATCTTCTGGAGTGCCGTGGGCTTAAGCAAGTCGTACCGTCACTACGTAAGTAGAGACAAACGCAACATAATTTCTTGTGAGACATGCCCAATGACTCGATGACGAGTTTTTGGGTCACTGCAAAACTGGACCGGCATAAAACAAGAACGATACCTCTTTCATTGCGCCTTTGTCCACAGATTACAAAGTTCTTATTCAATAATATGCTTACTCCAGTTATACGAAGAAGTTATTCAGTTGACGTACTATAGAAGTATTTTGAAGGTGTTCAAAGAAGTTCCCTACTACGGCGAGGGAGTAATAGAGTTTTCGAGTGGCTTCGAAAATTTCCTTGACATTTCCTCGACGCAGATTTCTCGCGAACTAGAAAGCGTTCGAAACAACTGGAGCACCTATCAGAAAGCGTAAATCTTCTACTTTACAACGCTTTCCTCCGAAGACAGCTACTGTCTTCCAAAGAGTGGGAACTCGCATGTAAATTTCAATTTCCTCGACAATTCTCGACGTCTCCCACTCTCGAGAATAGGCGTGCTTAGAAAAACGCTCAGCACAATTTAGAAACTAGAAGTCTTGTGCATTCAAAAGCTGCCTTCACTTTCTGAAATGGTTATCAATGAAGAAAGTTATAGTCCTTTAAATAGGGGGTACATTTGACGATTTTTCCAACTAGCGCGCTCTAGGCACAGCGCGCGACGCGATCGCGGGTAGTTAGCGCCGCTATACTGGAGCGCGAGACTGTTCAACTGTGTAGGGGCAGTACCTCCTTCAATGTTCTACTTTCCGGCCAATGTGGCAAAGGTTAAATGTCTTTAAAGGAAAGAAAGAATTGAATCTAGCATTTGGATCAAGCCGCATTTGCGTGGCAGCGGCGCTGCGTCCCTCTCGCACATCTGAAACTAGCATTTTTTGATATGAAACCGGATGTGCAGAGGACAAAAAGGGGTCGTATCAGAGTCCATGTTTTGGAGGGGGGTCGTAAAGAGGCGGTTATTTCCTCGACACGATTTTCACCCTGCTGGCGCTTTGCACTGCACTGCACCCCCTAACAGAATTGCCCGCGTCCCCCCTCGCACTGTGTGCTACCTAGCACACAGTGCGAGAGGTGGACAACAGGCAGACATACTAAGCCACTTATAGTTACTAGGATCATTCACCACTTTTTTGGTACTACTAAAACCGTTCAGCGAAAACGAAACATGGTTTTGTGGTCCATACATGCGTCCCTACAACATGTACTAAACGTTTCCAAAAGCGCACCTTGCATGATTCAACCAGTTTTTGCTCATTTGGCACGGTGCAGGCAGTAAATGAACTATGGCAAAAGCGCTGTTTCACGACGCTCTCCCCGCACACACTTGCGATACGATCTCTGCCCTTGAAGCAACACCCCCGATGAAGTTGTGCCGAAATCTATTCTGTAGGTGGGATCTAGCATAACAGATGTGCCGTAGTTGCGGCTCGAAAGTGCGCGACCGGTGATGAGGCCTCAAAAAATGATCTGATAGCGGCTAATGTGAACTTAGGGTCGAGATCCCCATGCACACTATGGCACGCAACGTGAATTGTGCCATCACAGCTAATTCAAATAGGCGCGGGTTAGTGGAGATGTGGAGCAAGCAGCTTCGTGCAACTCGTCCGGCCCGCCCATCATTATTTCGCAGAGGAGCAGAGAGACTTCTCTTGTCATCAACTTCGATTTGCTTTGGTTCTTTTTTCATTTTCAGTCAGCTCATCGTCAGCTCCATAATTTCTCTATCGACCCTTGCTCACCACCAATTTGATCTGGGGTTGTTGTTCTTGCTCAGTTGGCGGGCTAGCAACAGCGTCAGCAAATGAAGTATGGCTTAGTCCAGCTTCCCATTTGAAAGTATGCTACGAGGGAACTGGACCTTTGCTAGAGCGCTAGTACCGTTGCAATTTTTTCTTGTGTTCTCTCCTTAGTTATATTTTCTTTCATTTTTTCGCGCTTTACCTTAGCACAGTATGTGGAAACCCTTAATTTAGGCGCTATCAACGGATTCTTTTTTGTTCACTGCCGGTCCGCTTCGCCTACCTCCTCATTTCGTGTCTTAGAATGTGTGCAATAATTTGCTCGATCGTGGGATGTGCCTTGAAGCAACGACCTGCAGATAAGGTCGTGTCGAACAATTAGTTGTGTGAGTGAATAGAATAGCACGCGAGAATCATTGCTGTGTTGTTGCCACGGCTAAAATGGCACTGGAGCCTCAAAGAGTTAGCAGATGACGGCTAATGTGAGCTAATGGACGAAATACCTCTCGCACGCCTTACGA